CAGTGCCTAGGACCTAGCAGGTTCTTCAGGTCTCCCCTTGCTTTGTATTATTTTTGCAGCTGTTGACACAAGTCAGACCTGGAAGTCAGAGACAGCAAATGTTGCTTTAAAAAAGTGTAGGCACTTCCAGGATAGGTAGTGGATTAGGGCCTCCCCATAGTTCTCGTTCTCAATTCCTAATGAAATAAAAGCATTTAAAACCAAGGGGGAGATTTACTATTACTGACCAATACAGTATGCCTCGAAAATAGCATCCAAACAAAGATATGGAGGATCCCGGAGTGACCAGAAGTTGCAAAGAACATCTCTCTGTGCTCCCTATCCTATCCTCAATGCCCAGAAATTGACAAACTCCTGTGTTCTATCTACTGCTCCTGCACCTAAAAAGGAAGCAGGGATGAATCATGCTCTTATTCTTCCTTTTCTGGAAGAGCTCGGGAGACTGGATAGAGCAGAGCTTGGTCTACCCAGCTGTCTTGGCTAATAGAAATACAGGCTCCAGAACAACACTCCAGATAGGGACAGTGATCTAAGGCCTGGGTTATCCCCCTTTTGGGGGAGAATTATAGTGTCCTCCTCTCTATCCCCAATCAGGTGGCATGAGCCTTGTACAGGACTTTAAACAGAACTTCAGGACAGGAGCATGCCTAGGTGTTCCAACAAAGTCTGCACTCTGCTTTGACCAAACTCTTCCAAAGTCTTCCTTCCCTTCAGAATACTTAAAACTGTACGGAATCCAAAGACCCAGCCTTGCACTTAGCTCAGAGGGAAAACCAAACTGGTCTCAAACAGTGGGATGATGGTCACTAAGACCCTTTCTCTTATCACTCTGTTTCAGCAGTATTAAAAAACTCTGAACAGAGCCACACCAAAACAAATGACAAGAAAATGATTAAAACAAATGGGAACAAAATATAATGATCGATAAAAGGGAAACAGAGGACAAAAGAAGAAAAAAGTTCCTTCCTCCTACACCTGCCAAAATAAATGTGTGTGTGTGTGTGTGTATGTGTTGAGGAGGTTGGTTTGACTTCTTCCTAGAAGAGAAAGGAGCAAAATCTACCATCTTTTATAACATTCTTGCAAAATGGGAAAGTCTGCCCATCAAGAATATTATACCCAGCTAAGATATGCTTCCTGCAAAGAGGCAATAGGTAGACATTCTTAAACATACTTAATTCTTCTTGGAAAAAATAGCTAAACAATGAAATTCAGGCCATTAAGAGATTAATTGAGGGGCTGGGGTTGTGGCTTAGCGGTAGAGCACTTGCCTCGAACGTACGAGACCCTGGGCTCGATCCTCAGCACCACATTAAAAAAATAAATAAATAAGTGAAATAAAGGTGTTGTGTCCAACTACAACTAAAAAATAAATATTTTTTTTTAAAAAATATTAATTGAAATAAAGAACTTGCAACTGAAAAAGGTTTTGTAAAAAAGACCAACAATAAATGTCTGCTAAGTAACTATAAAATAGTGTTTACAGAGCAAAATATGATTGTTGTAAGCCTAAATATTGTAATAATAACAAATAACAAAGCCAGGAGGCAGGAGCAGGGTAGATGGGAAGAATCACAAAAACTAATTTTCCAGAGCAATGAACACACACACATACACACATACACATAATTTAAATGTCTAACATAAAAACAATGTGTAACATTGTTTTTCACAATTTTTGTTTAACCTCAGAGGTATCTTTTTGGAAGTAATATTTCTTTTTTTAATTTATTTTTTAATTGTAGATGGATACAATATCTTCATTTATTTCTATGTGGTGCTGAGGATCAAAGCCAGTGCCTCACGTGTGAGGCAAGTGCTCCACCGCTGAGCTATAGCCCCAGTCTCTTAGGAAGTAATATTTCTTGTGGTCAAGAAACATTCTTTTGAAGTTCAACTCCTCCTTCAGTTTCACTTCAACTTCAAGTAAAATTAAATGTAATACATTTATTTAAATAGCATCTGTATTATGGCCCACATTTCTTTAAAATATCTATTATCTTTCCTCTGGCATGTAAATATTCTCAGAAAGCTTTCTGAAATGTATTGTTCATGATGGGCATTTCTGTATGATGGCATTGGAACAATTCAAACTTTTCTGTATTGTTAAAATTATTTAAAGTGTCCATATATCATTTTTATAAAATCATGTAATTTTTATTAAAAAGGAAAGCATAGGATAAGAAATTATCTCTGATTAATTCTGAATGGTGTTGTCTGATTAATTATTTTCTTGCTTGTCATTTTTTTTGTTTTAATTCTCCAACAAATAAACAAATAAAATGTTAAAGTGTCAGGAAAAATTTTTCAGACATCTCACCATCCAGAACCAGATATGGCAGATATTGCTTCTGTCTTCCAATATCTCCTCTCCTTTTCTAATATTTAAGGAAGTTCTAGCTGTGCATGCAATGAGCAGCAAAGAACCCTATTTCTTAGTTCTCATGAATGGGATGTAAACAGAAGCACCATGTGGCAGCTTCTGGAAAGATTTGAAAATGTTTGCTCATTTTCTCTGTATTACTTTCATTTCCTTTTGCTGCCTGGAATGCAGGTTCAGTAACACTATGCTAGACCATAATGGTCAAGCCATTCAAAGTCAAGCAAAAGGGCTGGGGATGTAACTTGATGGTACAGCACTTGCCTAGCATGTGTGAAGTCCTGGGTTTGATACCCAGCATCAAAGGAAAAAGAGAGAAAAGCGGGGGAAGAGAAAAATAAGGAGGAGGAGGAGGGGGGGAGAGAAGGAGGGGGAAGAGGAGGAGGAGGAGAGGGAGGAGGAGGAGAGGAGAAAGGAAAAAAGGGAGGGAAAGTCTTTTATGAACTTGAGTTAGGGAAGTTTTCCACAGAAACTTTATTCTTGTATGGAACTCAATATTCCCCATGGTTATTTGACAATGGAATCAATCTTTCCTGTTAAAATTCCCCTTGGAGTACAAGAAACACTTGGAAATGCTATTATAAGAAGTAACACTTTGCAATGTGAGACATGATCGTTATACTCACCTTTGAGTCCCTGTAGATAATTCTCACTCCTTCATAAGTTCTGACCAGCAGCAGCATACAAAGAGAAAGAAATCTGGGGTTTGGAAAATAGGAGTAAATTTTCCCGGTAAATTGAACATATACCAAGAGAAGGAAATCAGCTGGAATCTGGGTTTTTCCTTCTCATAGCCACTGGCTGTAACTTCAAGGAGTAGGTATTTTGAGATATGCCCAAGTAGGGATAATGACCATTTTAAAAACAATTTAGGGCAGATCCCAAGAGTTGTGATACAGAAAATGGTAGCCGGGAGTGCCTTCTTGGCACTTAAGAGGAAATAGCAAAAAAGATCTAGGATAATCAAATCAATATTGATCAGCCATTCATTCACCTACCTACCTACCTACCTACCTTCCTTCCTTCCTTCTCTCTCTCTCTCTCTCTTTCCCTCCCTCTCTCCCTTCCACTTCTGAGCTTATAGAGATATATTATTAAACACTATATTCAACTACAGTTTACAGCCCTTTACTTATTTTACCTTATTTAATCCTGTGATATAGATATTATGGATAGTATCTTTACTTTTAGGGCAAGGTAAGGGAAGCAAAACTAAGTAACTTGCCTAAGTAAGATTAAAAAACTAGCAAGGGGTGAAGGCAGGATTCCAACTAGGAAGGTTTGCCACAGATTCACCTCACCTAACCACTGCTTATACACAAAAATGTCCAAGAAACAGCCACACAGCAAGATAGAGAGAGGAACCAAGTGATTATATGTCAGGAAAGTCCAGCAGGATGGGATGTCAGTTCACCTGGGTGATAAGCTACTGTTTTCTAGGGAGAGAAAGGAAGGGGGAAGTCACCTTAGGGTGAGAAGGTCTGGGGCAGGGAGGCAACTCCTCTTAAAGAGGGGTGTGCCAAGTCCAGATTGGGATGGAAGGTTGTTTCTTAAGGGATTAGAGGGTGGACACACCTGGGATGAGGCCAATGGAGGATCAAGAAGCAAACCCTGCCATGTTACCAAAGAGAAACCAGAGTAATGCAGAAAGAACGGAAAGAAAAGGAGAGTTTCAGGGGTTTTGGAGTTGTATTTAGTACGGATAGTGAGAAGAACACAGAGCCCCTTGAAGCCTCTGGCTTGGGCATAGGTGCTAGTTTTCTGAGTTTTGTGCACGTTTTGAATAGGGAGCTTAGCAGAGAAAATGTTCAATCACTGGGAGCGGTGGACTTCTGCAAAGATCCAGAATGCCATTAATATGCTATTCCAAACTCTTGGGACAGTAGGTGATGGTCACTAGCAACATGATGTTTTTACCGTTGAGCTCTGTTTTCTATTGCACGATTTCTGGTCCGAACTGCGCATCCTGCGCATACATTGCGCAAGAAGCCAGAGAGGCTGGTCCCTTGCCCGGGAAGGCCGCCCGGCCGGCTGCGCCGGTCCTGCCCGGGTTCCCGCCCTAGCTCTGGCGGGAGCATCAGGTGGGACCCAAGATACTGGCAGACGAGGCTGAAGCGGCCCCTCCAGGACCCAGACGGCCGCTTGCAGCCCGTCTGCACTCTGGTGGGTGGTTCCAGTACATTCGCAGGTCCAGCGTGCCTAGGCAGCTAGGAGCGGGGAGCCCCCAGGAAGCGCACAACACTCCTCTCTATTCCCCACACTGCGGGCTTCCTAGCGCGGGGGCCCAAGACACTTCCCACCGCGACTCGACCCCAGGCTCCCAGGGACACGCGGCAGGCCGCTGGGCACCCGCCCCAGCCCCCCAGACAGACGTCCGGGCCCCCCAAATCGCGGACTACAAGTCCCAGCAGCCCCCGCAGTTGGCACCTCCCGCCTCGCCGCGGAGACCCCCGGCGGTCCCAGCGACAGGGCTCCGCTGCGCTCGTGGCCGGGCCGGGCGGAGAGGCCGGTCCCGCGGGCGGGGGCGGGGGCGGCTCCGCAGCTTCTCCCGCCGCCGCCGCCAAGGGGAGTTTCCAGGAAGTGGCCATATTGGATCCATTCAGCCGCAGCCGCCCGGGCGGAGCGCGTCCCGCAGCCGGCTTGTCCCCTTCGCGGCCCCGGCGCTCTCTGCAGCCCGCCCGCCCGGTGCGGAGCTCACCATGGCTGCCACTGACCTGGAACGCTTCTCGGTGAGGGCCCTGGTGGCAGCGGCGCGCGCGGGAGGCGCTGAAGGGGGCCGCCCTGCAGCTGGCCGGGGGGCGCTAGGCGGGCTGTCAGCGCCGCGCGGCCGGGCCTCGACGCCCAGCGGGCTCGGGAACACTGGAGCCGGCTCTCGGCCGCGCTAGCCCGGGGTCTCGGGGAGTCGGGCGGGGGCGATTCGCCCGGTGGCTGGCGAGGCAAACCCCCTTCTTGGGAAGAAGCAAAGACCCGCCTGGCTCTGGGCAGGTGTGAAGATAGACCTGGATCCCGGAGGCCAGAGGAAAGGATCCGGGGTACTCTCTACCCCCATCTCCCAGGGTTTTTCTTTCTGCACAACTGGGAAAGATTCCTAGCCGCGCAGGTGCTGTTGGATGGACACAAACGGTGGGGATGAAGCCCTAAGGATCCAGGGAGTCCCCCCAAAGCGCTCAGGGTAGTTGCACACTTGGATCCTGAAGACCCTGCGCCCACTTTTCTTCCTCTTCTCCCCTCCACTTTCCTCCCCGCGTCGGGATCCTGGATGCGACCCCGACAGGTCAGGCCTCAGTGGTCGGGTCTGCGGCAGCCATTCCCCTGGAATGGGAGTGATTCCAGATTCAGCCCATTGGGTGTTTGGGCTCAGTCTGGGTCTGCCTTCTCTTGGGCTAACATTTTTGGTGGTCCCTGCAGGGGTCTCTCTGGACCTGAGTCAGGCCAGAGTCAACTTCCTAAAGGTTTTTATAATTCATCCGGGGGAGGGAGGCCCTTGGGGGTTGTGTCTGTACGTCCCTTGGTGTCTAAGGCTGGATCTGGGTGTGTCTGAGAGGCTAGGCTGTGACAGTGAAGGGAGCTGTGTCCTCTTGGCCAGCAAGTGAGGCCCTGGTCGTCTGGAACGGGAGGAGGGAGATGAGAGGAAAGGGAGGGAGGGGAGGGCCGGGGGGAATTCTGACTATGTGACCGATAACGAATTGGTTCTGGGGCTAAATAAGGGAGCCAGGACTTATGTAATTAATGCTATAAATACTGTCATCTGAATTTATATATGTAAATTTCCCCTTTAATCTGAAAATACATTTGTTGGTCTACTTTGGAAATATGCATAACTAAGCAGGAGCTCATGGTTTCATAATGTGTAGACTGGGTGTTTTATTTCCCTTGGTGGGGGGGAGGCATGTATCAGTTAAGTAAATTTAACTAAGATTCAGAGGCTGGGTGAATCTGAAATCCACTTCACCCCTGTGTAGTGAATTGGAATTTATATACTGGAGGAAGGCAGTTCCTGAATCCTGATAGACCCGCTGGAGGCTGAGACCAATGTGTACTTGTACGTGTCTGTGTGCATTTTCTGTGCCCAGCTGACCAGAAAGTTATGTCTGGTTCTTGTCTGTTGCTAGAGGTTGCTCTAGCAGTTGATCTTGTAGGTGGGAGTGGTATGTAGGGTAACCAGAATCAGACGGCCTGATTTGAATCTTATATGCTATGTGTTGGTCATCTGACCTTGAGCAAGTTATTAACCCCTTGTTGATCTTAGCTGTATAAAAGGATAAAAGACATTATTTCTTATTGGGTTATTGTGAGGATTCAGTGAGAGAATTCAGATGAAGAACTTGAGCAGTGTTGGGTACATGGTAAGGACACAATAAATGACACATGATACTTACTATTTATGTGGACATAAAGACTGATCCTCTGTGTGTGAGAAGGCAGCAGAGAACATGTTTGCCCCATGTTGCACTTTCTAGAAGGGCTTCCTTCCATTGATGTTTGTCCAGATAGTTCTTAGAGGATCAACTGAGAGGCCTGCCTACACAGCAGTGATCTGGAAGGGCCTCTTTATGTTTGCTCTTGGACCATTCCTGTGAGAAGCTTGGGTGTTATTATCTCTCAGTGCACGAGGCACTGAGAGTGCACTGTGAGCTAAGAGCATGGAGCCTAAGTACTGTGCCAGGTTGAACTGGAGGGATGGCTGCTTACCACACCCTCTGCTCTGGGTCATCAGCTTCTTGGGAAGACTTGGACAGGGTTGAATTTAGGTGGAGATCTTGGGTGGAGTTTGGCCTGAATTTTGGAGCCTGGACTCCATTCTCCCCCTCATGTCTTGTCATTCCAGGAAAATAATCTCTTATCTTGCTTTTTCCTTATCCTGCTGCAAATTGGGCACCACCACACTGACTTGTCAAAGAGTTTGTGGAAGGTTAATTGTAGTCTTGGTGTGTTTGGAGATGTCTCAGGTGTCTTACCAGCTCCAGGGTCTGGATGTGGCTATGGTAGGTCTTCACTGCCCCTCTGGTTAGCACAGTGGTTAGAACAGCCCTGAAGGGCTTGGGCACTGTCTTGACCTGGAGCTCAGAAGAGCATACAGAATTGTGCTTTGAGATCAAGATGTACTGGGTTCCTTTGAGATCAAGATGTAGCAGGATTGTGTGTCCCACATCCCCAGCAGCCTTTACCCTTGACTGGGCCCTGCTCAGCTCTAGATCAACCATGGGGTTTGGGTTGATGCCTGAAGTATGTGCATGTCGGGGGCAGGAAACACCTCAGGAGTTTCTGTTGCCTCTTTCTCCTTGTGCGTCAGACTCCTGTCCACTCTTGCTTGGTCTCTTTTCCTTACTGGTCCCTGACTCTGAAGCTAACCTCTTCCTGCCCTGAGGGCCAGTTCCTGTTTAATCCTATCAGAACCTCATGATGCAAGATTCAGACTCCATGGTGAGGGACCTTATCAGGCCTGGGGAAAGTGAGATGTGAGGGGGGAGGAAGAAACGTGAGGCAGCCTCATGCTTGGCATTCTTCCCAGCCAGTCACCCCACCCCCCCATCTCGGCTTTATCCCCAGCACCATCTGTTGCTTCCGTTGTCACCCCTGTAATCTTGACACTTCCCCAAGAAGCAGACTATCTGAGAGTGCCTCTTCTTCCCTGAAGCGAGGGATGTGGGAAGCAGCCCTCTCACCCAGGTGGTGTTTCAAGGCCTCTGTCACAGTGTTGTATCTCCCTGTCCTGTAAACATGGCCATTGACCTCCCTTTCTGAGGGAGAAATGAGAGTTGAGCAAGAGATGTCTCTGCAACCCTCAGTGCCTGATGACTTTGAGGGGTCACATGTGAGCACCCTGGGCAAAGCCGCAGCTCTTTGTAGTGGGTCTTCCCCAGCAGTGGGTCTGCCCTGCCCTTCTCTCTCATTGCATCATGCCATGCTATGGTGCCTGCCCTAGGAGGGTCTGTGTGGGATCTTGGTTGGAATGGTTGAGGGCCGTGAGGCTGGTCGGGGAGGCAGTGACAGTTCAAGGGTGCACTCCATAAGGGACTGACCAGGGTAAGAACAGAGAGGGTGGTGAGAAGAGACTGATCTCAGTGCCAAGGAGAATGGATGGAAGCTGAGCACCCAAGGATTGGACCTGTGTCTGAAACTGGAGACAGGGACAGCACTGGATGCTTTGTGTCCATCATCTTTTTGATACTAATAGGTGAGGAAGCCAACTTTGGTCATTGGCCAGTGAAGAGAGGGCTCAAAGCCCAGACTAGCAACTAAGGACCCCTTGAGATGACCAAGAGGGCAGCCCTCTGTGTTTTGAGTTCTAGGATTGACCAGGTGGAGGAGCATATTTAATGCAGTGACTACTACAAGTGTCCCTGTGACTCCAGTCCAGCTACCCTGAGGCAAGGCGAGCAGCTGTAGGATGACAGAGCAAAGGACCTAAGGGACAGCTGGTCTCCATGCGTTCCTGTCTTCCTACCTCTGTGCTGCTTCTTGGGTCTGGGGATTCCCAGACATAGCCCCCAAGGCACAAGCTTTGCCAGACAACAGGATGTGGAGCTATGCAGGCAGGAGGGAGACACCTCTGCCTGGTGAAAGGATGCTTCTCAAGGTCAGAATGCCTTCATAGTAGAGCTGGGTGCTCTTGACTGGGTGCCTTAGGAGCTGTCACCCGCATGGCTCTTGAGGAACCGTGGTTGGGCAGAGGCATTGGAAGACAGGGCAGGGGGCATCTTGGCAGTGATTGCAATTGCCCTGAAGGTCTTGGGACAAGTTAGATGTTCTCATACTCAGAACATAGCTTTTAGGTGCTTCTTAGCCCCACCTTAGAGACTTAACAGGGTTAGAACAAGGAGAAGAGGGAGTAAGGGTCCATTTCTGATTGTGGCAGTTGGCTGTTCTCTGAGGGACCTTCTGGGCCACCAGGGAAGTTCAGGAGGAGCAGTGGTTATGGACCTAAGTGTACTCCCCAGACCTGGCTATGGGGTTGATCACAAGCCTGACCCTCTGCCTGGTGCTGGGGTGAATGAACAAGCATCAGAGACATGTAGCAGTGCCACCCACACTTCCGTTCTCCATGTTGGTGCTCATGAATTCCTCTGTTCTTTGCCAGCACTGGCATCTGTCCTGAGAGGAAAGAAGAGGCACCTTTGCTACCCATGTTCCACCTTCCATGTCTAGGGTCTCATTTTCTGTGGAGCAAAGACTGCCCCCTCCTTCCAGCATTGTCAGACCCCTCATGACTTTCCCTGTTGTAAGTGACATCTGCCCTGAGCCAAGTGAATAAATAGGAACACCTGGGTTTCAGTGCTTCCTGTAGCCCAGAGAGCCTTTCCCATCTGCACAGCTGTAGGACAGACAACCTCTTAGCACATCGAAGCCCAAGAATGGGGCTGTGTCCTAGGCCTGGGCACTGAAGGTGACAGGCATGGGCCCAGGAATCAGCAAGTATGCCCTTGGTTCCTGGAAACCTGATTTTGTTAGGAAATCAAATCATTCCCAATTAATAAGCTGCCACCTGACTGATGTGCAGGAAGAAGGAGAACGTACCTTCTGGAGACAGGGAAGCAGAGAAGACAGAGTACTAGTATCAGCGGAGGGATGGTCTTAGACTCCCGCAGATAGTTTTGCTCCAGAGTTCCTTGTCTTCTGAGAATGGGGGGGGGGGGAACAGCTGGTTTGTGGAGTGACTGGTGGTCCAGCTCCTATATCCCTGTTATTATCCCATCTGCCACCACTGTGATGCTAGGAAGGTTGATCC